GAACAAAAAAATAAACCAAAAGAAATCACAAGGAAGGAAATAAACAATAAAGGAGAACGCAGTGATTAATGATGCAGAGAACTGAAAACGATCCATGGAATGATGTCATCTTTGAAAACAAAGTAACGAATGTGCAAGACCCCCAGCTAATCTAATCAAGAGAAAAAGGGAGACGTCCGTGTGGAGTCTGAGCCCCGTGACGAGGGAGAGCGGATGACGTACTTACGCACACAGAAAGGGGTCTTGCCCGACCAGTGGTGGTCCTGCTGGCAGATGCGCACGGACATGCCGATGAGGCGGAAGCCTGCGTTGCACTGGTACACCACGCTGCCGCGGTAGCTGTAGTTCTCCCCGTTGATGTGGCCGTTGACGATGGGCTCCGGAGTCCCGCAGTGTCCAGCTTTGGTGGGGCATGGGGAGGAGAGTGAATCAAACACGAGCTTACAGAAAAACGAGGTGCAGCTTGGTCAGGGTGGGGAGAGACAGGCATGGTGGGGAAAAGGACCAAGCATCCAACCACCCATCGCCTGTCCCACCGCCCGCTGGGAGTAGCAATTCAAGGGTGACTTCAGGAATCTTGGGCACGAAAGAAATGGTGTTGAGGACTTGGCAACCCCAAATGCCAAAGTTGCATCCCAAATGGCCATCCGTTTCCGAGCTTTAGTTTCTGTCTCTGTACAGGGGTGGAAACTGATCACTGTTACTTTCCTGCCTCTGGGATCATCCCCCTGCCTTTCTTATCAACCAGAACTGACTGAGCATCCACTCTGTAGGGGGCACCTGTGTCTACATTAAGGCAGCTGAAGCCTAGTTGTGTTGAAAACAACCATGTGAAAACAGCTGTTTTGGCTAAATTCATACTTCCTGCTCCTTGAGTGGCACCTAGGTGAGTTTTTATGAAGTGGGGTTTGGAAAGGGTATATTCCCGGCGTTTCCACCAGCTTCCTTTGGCTGTGTGGAAAAACCCATGACTGTGCCCCTAACGGGGGCCCAGGACAGTCGGGGACAGCACTGTTCACTCCGGGATGGACCATCTAATCTGTTCTGTTAGGTTTGTGAGGCTGGGACCCTGTTTTGGACTTGAGGGGTCTGAGAAAGGAGAGAGAGGAGAGAGAACCTTAGAAGGTAAGGCTCAGGCAGGAAGTGGATTAGCCATGGGGAAATGATAACTTTGTCCTTTGTAAGCCAGGTTGTTTTTATGCTTGTCATTTGCTTAGTGTATGTGTGTGTGTGTATGTGTTTGTCCGTGTGTTTATGTATATATGTATATACTGTCTGTAAAATTTGCTAATGTATAATATAAAAGATATTTTCAGTGTGTTGCAGGAATGTGTCTCTGCAAGTTTCCCAGAGGTGGGGACTGGGGTTCATTATATAAGGGCCAGTAAGAGGGGATTGTCTTTCTGATTGGAAGGAGAACCTCTCAGAGGCTTGTCTCATCAGACTTAAAGCTCTTCTCACCCTTTTGGGTGCCCTAGAGAAGCTAGTTCAGGGTTTTAGTCATGCTAGATGCCCAATAGTCGATGTTTGGATTAAACATTTTATGTCAGTAGATAAAATGATACTGTTCAAAGACCTATCCCAGCTTTGGAAAGATATAACCTGCCCTGAGGAGGAAAGATGGGCGGGATAGGCCCGGCGAGGTCACTCACCCAGGCAGCGGACTTCAGAGCCACTCCAGAGCCCGTTGGCCATGCACTCCCGCACCCTGGAGCCCACCAGTGTGTATCCAGAATTGCAGGAGAAGATGGCTGTTGCCCCGTAGACGGACAGGGTCCCGATGCGGTGCCCGTTGGGGGGGAGGGGGAGCTCTCCACAGGAGATGACTAGAAGGATCACAAAACGCCCAGTAAGCCAGCCCCAAGAGGAGGGCCACGTGCTGCCTCTGATTTTCAAGAATAATGACGGCAATAAGATCTGTTTGACTTTGCCCTACCAGAACTCCTGACCAGAATACGGGCGGTGACGCTGACTCGTGTGATGTGACATTGCAACTGGACGTGTCTCCAGAATCATCTGAGGAGCACCCAGGCTGGTCTCGAACTCCTGGCCGCCAGGAGCCCCCAGAGCAGCTGGGATTACAGGTGTGAGCCACTACGCCCGGCTCTGAGGAGCTTTTAAAATCCCCAGGCTGCACTGGAGACTCACGACCCACAATCTCTGGACATAGGGCCCAGACATGTGCATTCTTAAAAACTCCTCGGGTGGTTCAGACGAGCACTGTCGGGAAGAGATGGCGACTCTGCCTGCTCCTTAGTGCCCGGGGCGCACACTGCAAACCAACGCTGTTGTCCTTTTTTGCTGAGCTCAGCAGCAGCCTCGCGCCCCTTCACCACCAAGCACTGCCCAGAGCCTCTGGCTGAGTGTGCGGTGAGGCCAACCACTCAGGCTGCGCTGAAATGGGAGTGGCTGCATCGCAGCGAGGCTGTCACATGTTTGGGACTTTTACTCTGCCACACCTGGTTCCATTCCACTTTATACACCGTGTATAAAGACGCAGAGTATTGGATGACGGGTGCTGGAAGACTCCACTCCTCCCACCCAGTCTCAAACTCCCACTTCTCACTGACCAGCCTCTTCCTTCTACCTCTTTACATTCACTTACTTCCTCTATCCTCTCTGATTACCTAAGTCTTATGAGCGCGTCCCTATCATGGTGGATGTGTGGTGAGCCGCTCAGAGCCCGTCCTTTTAGGAGCAAAGGACTTACTGCCCCAGCTGCTGGCAAACCCCCTCAGCTCTTAGCCCTCTTCAGGTTGCCTTGGTTCAAGAGTCCTCTCCTCTAAGTTCTAAGTTCGTTCTCCCTCCCTGGGCCAGCCTGCATCCAGTGACTGGTCTTGCCCCAACTTGTGACAATTCTGAAGGGCCACCCCAGCTTCAGAGCTCCTTGGGGGTGGGGTGGGGGTCAGCTAAGGCTTTCACTGATGCCGCATCAGAGCTCGACTTCTCCTCTGCCCCGCCTGCTTCCCTTCCCTTCCTTTCCCCTCTGCAGGTGGTGACCCCAAGAGCACTCCCTAGTAAGCCTCTGTCTCAGCTGCTTCCCAGGGGCCCTGACCTTTGAAACTATATTCAAGAACCAAAGAAAAACAATGAACAGTGGAGAAGGAAAGGCAGACAGTCTTAGGTTGCACTTAGGTGGCCTGTCCCCTGTGCTATGCTCATTCTTCCTACACACACTGCAATTTCAGGTCTTATCACACCACATTGCCATTGCTTCTTTATTTGCCTGCTTCTCCTGTAGACCATAAAACTCCTTGTGGGCAGGAACCGCAACCTTTTACCTTCATATCTCTGCAGTATCTGGCATATAGGGCATACAGTAGGAGCCCAATGAATGTTCAGTAAAGGAATTAGTAGATGCTCGTCTGGACAATGGTAGCTTTTAATAAGATGACAAGGTGCTAAGAAGTATTAATACTTCCTTAAAGGAGTAGGCAGTTTCCCAACTCCTGATTCTGGGTGAGTGTACACAAAGAGGTACCCTGCAGTCCCTGGTACCCTGATACCCCCTTTCCCCTCCCAAGTCATCCCATGCGTGAGACAGTTCACATGGGAGGCACTCCACCACACCTGCCCACCCTCCCCTCCTGGGCTTACTTTGGCAGGTGGGCATAGAGTCCCCAAGGCTCCATTTGCCATTGGCCTGACAGCGGATGACCCTCTGGCCAGTGTAGTAGTAGCCAGGGTCACAGACCAGCATCAGCTGGGCCTGGAACTGGTACTGTGTCTCAAAGATGAGCCTCCATCGGCCATGCTCCACGCCGATGCTGCTGACATCAGGACAGGCCACAGCTGGGGGAACAAGGAGCAGGGAGCAGGATTAATTAATTAATTGTGGAAGACACTGCCGGAGCCCCGATCTAGGGACTTGGAGGCCTTAAAGCAGTAATCATGAGTCCGAGAATCTCCAGTCCGCAGGTAGGTTTGGTAAATGAATGACATGGATTGGGTGGGGGGATGTGGCAAACTGAGAAGCACAGATCTGCCAAAAAATAATCTAGAAAAAGGAAGGTGGTTCTCTGTCCATGGTGAGTGCTGGATGTGAGACTGCAAGTGCCATTTGGTTAGATCTTCATTTTGCAAGAGAAGTCAGAAATCTGGATTTTTTATGTGCAATTTTCTGATTTGAAAATGTTTCAAAGCAATTCAAAATCTGTTATAAAGCACAATGTAGGCCAAATAAAACAAAACAAACACCTCTGTCTTTGGACTGGATATGGCCCAGTCACCTGCCAGTTTGTGACTCTGGCCTAGAAGTTGTTATTTTAGAGTTTTGTGACCAAGGGACAGTCAGGCAAACTTTCTGACAGTCTCTTCATCTAAAAGGAAGTGGACCAGGTCATTCATGAGTTCCATGGTGGTTTGTGGAAGCATCTCAGGGCACAATGGTCTATCAGTGCTTTGAGAGCAGGTTTGGCTCCTGTCTCCTCTCCCTGAATGCCCCAGCCTCCACACGCATGGGTTTTCCTCATGACTGTGCTTTTAGCTCACTCCGTGCGGGAATCTTTTCAGCTGCCCACCCCACCCTTCCTTACATCCACCTCCAGTGCCCAAGGACTCACGGACACACTTCGGAGGGACATTGCGGTTGCTCCACAGGCCTGTGTCCAGACACTCCGCAGTGGCCTCGGCGCCTTCCTGGAGGTGGTAGCCTTCACTGCAGCTGTACACAGCCTTGGTTCCCACTGTGTACTCCTTGCCAAACACCATTCCATTCTTGGGGGCCTCAGGAAGCCCACAGGAAAGAGCTAGCCAAGGAAAACAGAGCAACATGAGCGTTGCTGATTTAAAGTGGTTTTCTGAGACTATGTTTTTCTTTCCTCTCCTCCCAAGGTCCTAATAAAATTATAGTAAAAACTTATAAAAGGGAAAAGCCTCATAATAAAAAAGAAAATGGGATGGTTATCAGCAGAAGGGATTTAAAAAAACTGGAAGACAGAAGTATGTTGATGGATTATATAGAGCAAAGAAGCTGCAGCCCCACATATATGGGAGGGAGCCTCAGGGTGAGACCAATTCTCCATCTGTTCCCACAAATGCAGTATAGAGGCAGTCACGCATCTACTCTCCAAAAATAGAGAGGGTTTCCTTCCCCACTTAAGGGGAACCCCCTTGAGAGAATTAGGGCTGCTATGGTGGGAGGTGGCATCTCAGAGGAAAGCTCTTTTAATTCTAGGGTTTATGGTCTCCTGGTCGACAGGCTGTCCCTTTGCCTGCCCACCTCTGCAATGTACTCAACTTCTTATTCATGGGAGAGACCTAGTGGGCCAAGATATCTGTATATAACAACAACAGAGCTAATCCACATCTGCTACCTGGAAAAATCAACCTAGCCTTTACTTTTTAAATATGTATAATCAAGGATCAGTATACATATGAAGAAAACTAGTGGTGTGAACGAGATAAACAAAGATAAGATTAAAAAAATTTTAAAAAGTCTCCTTAGGAAGCAGAGCTAATTTAAGAAACAGCAGATCTATAATCTTTAAACTTCCAATCAGTAGTATCTTAAGAAAATCCAGGTGACATACGGCACTCATAAGTTGAGAACACAGTGCTTTGAAAAAAGAACAACAAAAAGAGAACAAGGAAGAGCTCTTTTAAATGAAGAATATGGTTGTGAAAATAAGCATTCAATAGAAGGGTTGGAAATTAAAAGTAAAGGAAATGTCCCAGAATACAGACCAAAAAGACAGTGACAGAAAATGAGAGAAGAGGACTGAAAACACAGAGGATAGGTCCAGGAGGTCCAGCTGCCAAGTGTTCAGAGCTTCAGGAAGAGGGAACAGAGAAAGTGGATAGGATGGAATTATCACAGAGGAGAATTTCTCAGAGTTAGAGAGAGACACAAGTCTTCAGATCGAAAGGGAGCCAGAGGGATGCAAGGAGAACCATTTGAAGATATATCATCATGGAATTTCAGAAGTCCAAGGACACAAAGACATTCGTACAAGTTCCTAGAGAGAGAAAAAATATGACATACCTGTGAAGGAGTGACAATCGGATTGGCATCAGACTTCCCATCTGCAACACTAGGTGTTCAAAGATAATGGAACAAAGCCTTTAAACTTCAGAAGGGAATTATTCGTAACCTAGAATTTTACTGAGTCAACTGGGCCAGCATGTGCAGGGGCAAAAACAAATACATTTTCAGACATTTAAAGATTTGGAAAATTTACCTCTCATGAACCCTTTCTGAGGAATTTACTCATCAAAAAGAGGGCGAGAACTAAGAAAGGGAAAGATATGGGATACAAAAAAAAAAAAAATGACAAAACTAACTCAGAAGTACAAAGAAAAGGAACCTCAGGGTGACAGCTCAGGAGAGAAGCGTGCAGCAACACGGCCAGGCTACATTCTGCAAGGAGTAGGACTGACGTTACGTTTATAGGAGGACTATATGTTACTTAGGTAAGAGTGGACCGTTTGGGCTTTGAAAGAAAGTGATACTTACAAACCATGCTTGCCCTTTGACAGCTGAGGAGCTATTGCAAAGGGAGAGATTAATCAGGGTCAAAGCATCCACTGCTGTCCCTCACCCCCACCACCTCAGGCAGCTGGTCTAGAGCTCAGGCCTCCCACACCCAGAGCCAAGGTAAGCCTGAGCAGAGGGAAAGCCCATCTAGATTGACTAGCGATGATGCTTGGTGCTACCAGAATCTCCAGAACCAGGAAGAGACATCCCATTAGGGCTCCATTATGATATGAGGAAGGGTAGACTGTCCAGAGGGAGAGAGGCTGGAATACAAGATGGAAGAAGGAGTTGAAAGCTGCACGTGGGACCAAAAGAGGAGGACCAGGGACGCAGAAGGACCGAGGAAATAAGGGAACGTTTAAACATGAGGCTCTTCTAATGCCTCAACAGCAAGACATTGAGCTCCTCTGGTAGTACCAGGTTAGCCAAATTGTCATATCAGATCAACTAACAGTCTAGCTTCCTTGAACCCTTCAGGAAGAAATACTTAGATGCCCACTGACATCTCGCGTAGACAGCCAACCTGGGGAAAGCTGGAGAAGGAAGTGGGCAACAGCCATTGCTCATTGGCCCTGGCCTGGCCCTGCTCTCTTGGATAACTCAGGGGACAGAAGATGACTTCCCAGCCGGAGGGACGAAAAGCCTGAGTCTCATGATCTCCATGCCAAAATGCAGTGCCCCAAACCAGAGGGTAGGAGAGGAGGGGACTCCACCACAGAGTATTGGAGGCTTGTGGCGGAATGAGATCTCTGAGGGAGAGATTATGTAGAGTGAGAGAATGGGCTGGGGACACAAAGAGGAAGCGCTGGGAGGCACAGGGACTCTCATGGAGAGTGGACAAGTCATGGTTTGGAAGCCACAGTAGAGAACGGAAAGAACGCCAGACTCTTCCTGGCCCTGAGTTATGTAGGATATGAGGGGGAGCCGGGGGGATTAACACCCTCCACTTGAAAGGGCCACAGCATAAGTGCCCTCAGAGGACAGCCACCGTCTCTGCGGAGGGAAGAAGTGAAGACAGCCTGCTGGGCAGTGACCAAGGGCGTGTGCTTGCTGGCTGTGGAACTGGGATTCCAGAGCACGCAGAGGGAGCTGAGAGGGAGGGCAGTGGTGGGAGGCTGAGGGTGAAATGGTGAGAGGACACACACAGCAGCGTGGGGACCAGTGGACAGAAGCCAGGGGGGCTGAATTTTGGGTGGCGACATGAGGTAACAGAGATGAGAGGCTTGGTAGCTTCCAACCAGAGCTCTGGAAAAAAGACTTGTCCCTGTTGATGCCGCTAGAGACACGGAGACGGAAGCCAAATGACATTTGTCATTTGCGGACAGTTTGTTCTCTGTGACCTTTGCTCAGGGCTTAGAATAGAATATTAATAACGCATTGTTTTCATTCTTTGAGAAAGTGCAGGCACAGGCAAGAAGGTTGTGAGGCTTAGAGGTGAAAGCTGTCATTAGAAAGTAAGTCACCACACTGGGAACCAAAGAAAAATAAAATCAAACAGCAATGCGATTTCCTGTTTCTGTCTATATAATTGGCAAATAACGCAGCACATAACGTTGAGACCGTGGGAGAAAAGACAGCTCTCATGTGCGGCTGAGAAGGATAAATGAGGATAAACTCTCTGGGGTGTCAAAACTGTAATTATCAAAAGCTGTAAATTTGGCATATGTTATGATTCAACAGTCTCACTTCTGGGAATTTATTTTAAGGGAATAAATATGGAATTTCATAAAGATGAAATTATAAGTTTATTTATTTATTTTTCTAGCCCTGGCTAGAGTGCAGTGGCGGCAGCCCAGCTCGCAGCAACCTCAAACTCCCACTCTCAAGCAATCCTCCTGCCTCAGCCTCCTGAGTAGTTGGGATTACAGGCACAGGCCACTATGTCTGGCTAATTTTTTCTATTTTTGGTGGAGATGGGGTCTTGCTTTTGCTCAGGCTGGTCTCAAACTCCTGACCTCAAGTGATCCTCCCACCTTGGCCTCCCGGAGTGCTAGGATTACAGGCGTGAGCCACTGCCTCCGGCCGGAATTATAAGTTTATAGTAGCAATATATATATACACCCACACACACATACACATATATACATATACGGAAATCTACAATAGAATGATACTTGAATAAATGAAAGTTCTCCCATAATGCTATGCAACCATCGATAATAATGACAGTGAAGTGTATTTGATAATACGAAAGATGCTAACAAAATATTAATAGCTTTGTACACTGATGATCCCAGTTTTGTAACCAATATATAAAAGACCAAAGGAAAAGTGCTGAAATGTTAACGATGGTGATCTCAGGTGACATGATTATAGGTCATTTTTGCTTTTTTTCTTTTTCTTCATCTACTGTTTCTTCCCCCCAGATTTCTGGTCTGAATGGATATTACTTTAACGGAAAAACCCATGAAGTACAAAAGTCAGTGCATGCAAACGGGCACGTTTCAAGGGTTTGGTCAAGCCACTTCTCTGTGAGCCCAGGTCCCAGCATCCCTTCGGCTGGGAGCCTGCCCAGCTGTCCAGGAGGAGGGAGGTCCCTGCTTACCCCCGGGCTCACGCACACTGTGTTCCTGATACAGAACAGGCACGCTGCATCTGTGTGCTCCCATACCCACCTTCCCCACGACTCTCACAACACTGAGACCACTATGTACATGCAATCTCCAGGCTCGAGGGATCATGGATCCCCAATAAATGTTTTCTGAAAGAATGAATTAATTATCAAAGAGGAAACCCACAAGTGGAAGTGACTGGTCCTGGACTGGATCCGAGCCACCCTGTGACCCGCTTCCCGCCTGCTTCTCACCTTGACAGAGAGGAATGGCCTCGCTCCACAGGTGGTAGCCCTGAGGGTGCCGGGTACAGATGGCCATGCTGTGTCCCACCAAGCGGTAGCCGGCGTTGCAGCCAAAGTGGATGGAGCCCCCGGGCTGGCTGCTGGTCTGGCCCAGGATGAAGCCGTGGAGGGGAGCCCTGGGCAGGCTGCAGTAGGGAGCTGAACAACGAGAGAAGACTCAGTACCGGCCGAGAGACAGAAGTGGCCTTTCATGCGGCCCCTTCCACTCTCTTCTCCCCCCATTTCCTTGTCTTCACCCCTGCCAGGTCCTCTGCTACTTAGGGAGGTCTGCATGGTTGGTATTGAAAACAGCCAGTTGGTTTAGTAAAAAGCCAAAACAAAACAAAGGGAAATAAAACAAAGGGAAGCGCTGGGTCCCCGTTGCAGTCTGGAGGCAGCACTGACTCTACAGCCAAGTTCAGGTTCTCAAATCCCTTCAAACAGACTCAGAGAGCAGAACCCCACGGGGTTGGTTCCAGAAAGGTGTGACCATGGGGTGTGGACGTTGAAGTCAGGCAGGCCTGGGCTCAAGTCTGATTCGCGACTTGACGAGGTCTGTGACTCGGGAAAAATCACGGAAGCTCCTTCAGCCCCAGTCTCCTCACCTGTGAACTGGGACAGGCGATACCCACCTCACAGGTTTTTAGACAATTTGAATTGTATATAAAGCCCCCAGCGCAGCGTCGGGCACTTAGTGCTCAATAAGTGGCCGGTGTCCTTCCTGTCGTGTAGGGGAAGGGGCCGAGACAGAACTGTGGCAACGCAGGAAATAAACATCCCTACAGTGCTACTTCCCTCAACACATGGCTTCCACTTATTTCATTCATGTATTCGACAGATAGACACCGAGCGTCTGTTACGTACGAGGGTTGCTCTAAGTGCTGGGAATACGACAAGGAAGAAGACAGACAGCAATCCCAGCCTGAGAGAACTCCCACTACAAACCCTGCCAGCTGTCCTCAGGGGATCCGTGAGGCTGAGAAAGAGGGACGACCAAAACACCATGCAGAACAGCCCCGTCCTTTGCCCCAGGTGTCCCTGGAGGGGTCTCCCAGGCAGACGTGGTCAAGGTAGGAGTAGGGTGCATGGCCCTTACTCATAGCCTCCTCACGCTGAGGACCGATGGCCTCTTATTTGATCACATACTGCTGGGGACACTCACTGCTGTGCTAAATATAAATACCTCCCTTCCAAGCCAGTCGTGTTTCCTTGCTCAAGATGTGTTGTATTCCTTTGTCTCCTATGTTCTGTGTATTTTGGATCTTTGTGTCTACCTGACTCAGGAACAAGAATCTCAGTTATAAAGTAGACTTAGTCACAGTGACAGACGCAGGTGCAAATTACTCAGGGCTACTGGATCTTAATTATTAAGTACTAATTGTTGCGCCATGTAATTAATTTGCTTTCTACATGGCATATGTATTGTAATTGCAACTGATTCATTATCCCCAAACATGTTAACCTTTAGAACATCAAGGAAAGGGTAACTCCTTAATAGCTTTTAGTTCTTAATTTAGCAGTCAGCATGGTGAATTGCTGCTAAACTGCTATATTTCCCTTTTGCGTGAGATGCTATAAGCAACTCAGCCTGAGTCACCCCTGAGAGGTACCTTAAAGTTTCTTTTTTCTTTTCTTTTTTTTTTTTTTTTGAGACAAGGTCTCCCTCTGTTGCTTGGGCTAGAGAGTGCAGTGGCATCATCATAGCTCACTGTAACCTCGAACTCGTGGGCTCAAGCGATCCTCCTGCCTCTGCCTCCAGAGTAGCCGGAATTACAGGCACATGCTACTACACTTGGCTAATTTTTTCATTTTTTGTAGACATGGGGGTCTTGATGTTGCCTAGGATGGTCTCATACTCCTGGCCTCAAGCGATCCTCTGCCTGCGCCTTCCAAAGTGCTAGGATTACAGTCATGAGCTACCAAGCCCAGCCCTTAAGGTTTCTTTTTCATCATGAGGAAATTGAGGCCTGAAGTGGTTAAGGGCTTTGTCTAATAGGATTATAGCTATTAATAGTTAGTGACAGAGCTTGTCACTGTTCCTGGGGCACTCAAACATGGAGCCACCTTCCCCCCTGTGTGCACTGGGGAAGGGAGGGTTTGGGTGGGCTGTGCAGAGGATATGGACTCTGAGATAGCAAGATCCGTCTCCTCCCAGGCTCCTCTCAGCTTCGCCTGGGCAGCTCTTTCCCTGAAGCCACATCCAAGGGTTCTCTAAGAATATTCAATGGGCCTCTAGGTTTGGGCTGCTCTTGCAAGTAGGAGACCCATTAGCAGATGGACTGAGGCAGGTGGTACCTCAAGCAGGTTATAATCTGACATCCCTTCCAACAAATATTCTTTAAACATTTGTCTGCAATGGAGGTCAAATGCAGCCAGGGGACAGTGCTGAAAGGGAACTGGTGTGGGGGGATTGGAATCCCCCACGGTCTTAAGCAATTCATTGTGCCTCCAAGCTTGCAGAGCCCAGCCAGCAGTTCCCTGGACTCACCCACCTCCAAGGTGGGCATCAGGTAGCTTAAGTTTTCCTTCAACTGCAGGCAGTAAACCCCATGATGGGAGTTCAGATAAATTCCAATTTCTCCATTGCATTATATTCCCAGGATATTTCTGTGCTCCTTAAAGACCGTTGCCCAGGTCAGCCTTGTGGCTGGCCTGGTCTCGGATCTGACTGTGCCTGTAAGATAGGGCTTGCAGAGCAGGAGAGAGGCTCCTGGCCTTGAAATATAGCCCATCCTTTGCTGCTCATTGAACGTTTGCCTGTTAGAAACCCCTGTCTTAGGGCTTTTTAGTTTTAAGGAACTTTTGGTAACATTTCCTAAATTTCCTAATGGGACAGGATCACCTTTCAGCATTATCAGATCATATATAATGGTTAAGTTTATCCTAAAGACACAGGCTGGCAGTATGAGAAGAAAAGAGGGAAATGGTTAAAAATGGGGAAAGGAAAAGAAAAAGAGGTAGGAAAATGCCAAGGCCTGCTGGGACAGCTTTAGGTGAGGGCTATTTAGAGGAGGGGAAAGGCTGCCCAGTTCCATAGAGGAGAGGGCCCGTGGCTCATGTGGGTGTTTCGGGTGGGCAGCTTAAGGGGCTCAGGGGCCATGCCCTTCTCATGAGGCCTCATGCATTACTCACCTGAATACCGGATCTTAAAGCCCTTCCGATTGTAAGCGTGATCAGACGACCAGCGCAGGTACACAGAGTTGCTTGAGCTGGTGACCACCAGGGGAGCTGAGTAATTCCCACTGAGGGCTTTCAGCAGAGGACTTTGTCCTGAGGGCCCTGGGGTGAGAATGACACAGGATTACAGACCATCAGAGCTGTGGCAGACAGGCCCAAGTGAAGACACGAGGACTCAGGGGGTTGGGCAGCTTGCTCGGCGTCAGCACAATCATCTGTACTCACACTCCCCTCTGCATCCACGGGCATTGCTCAAGGTGCCCTTTCCTCCTGAGCTCGGTGCTAAAGCAGTGCTCTAGGAAGTCCTGCCCACTTCTAGCAGCTGGCAGGTGAGATGAAATCTGTTTGCCGTGTGGGGACTTGATCGAGGTCAAGCCCCTGGTTCATGGGACAGCTGGTTCTCAAACTGGGACCTCCCTTCACTTGGCCGCCTTACTTCTCTTGTGCATGCTAAAAACAGCTCAGTGCCAGCCATAGATAAAAAGTATTTATTGAATGTATATATAGCAATAAAGCTGGAGGAAAATGTCATGTCTCATGGTCATAAGTAACGGAGCTTCCCAATCTTGCTTTCCAAGGCTCTGTGAGAAAGGCCTCCTTCTTCCTTTTTATTACCGTAACTGCCTGGGATTGCATCCTGGGGGCTGGCTCAAGGGAGGCAGAACATAAAGCTGGATAATCCCTAACACAGGATTTATCACCCTGGGAAAGGCCCTGAGTGATGGCTGTGATGTGCTGCTAAGACCCTAGGAGCTTGCAGAAAGTAATGGGCCACACTGAGCACAGTCGAGAGCCATCAGAACTGCATGGCAAACTATAAGGGAAGGAGGCAAAAGGCTCAGAGGAATGGCACCCTAGAACAGGTCTGTCGTGTAAGAGCAGGAAACCCACTAGCTGTCTGTATTTCTCAGGAGGGGCCCGAGGACACTGTTTACTGGAGCAATCAGGAGGCGGGGAGCTGGTGAGGAGGTGAGCACCGGTATTACTGAAAACCTGGGTCAAGGTTGTCCTCTGCAGATGAAACTGATAGGAGGAGATGCTGTCATAGAACTGGGCTCCCTGGTAGTAATGAGGAGATCCCAGAGTGCAGAGGCCAGGTGGGAGCACTGAACAGTCAGAAGCAAGGTTGGTGTAATTTCTAAAATGGGCAGCAAGGTTGGAATGGCAGCTGGGAGGGCCTCACCTATAGGATCTATGGAGATGGCTCATAGAACATGGTATTCCTAAGGGCAGGATAGGCAGGCAGCCAAAAAATATATGAAGAAATGAACAAAACAGATAACCAGAGGGACTTTCTGTTGGTGGGACTTTCTCCCAGTGGAAAGTCCCAATGCCTTGCCCAGTTTGCAGACCCAAGCCAGGTTTCATCCCCATTCCAGAACACTTTGGCTGGGGAAGAGGCCGGTTCTCTATGTAAAAGGACCCTGCAAAAAGACACCAATTGTATATAGTAGTGATTCTTCCAGTTCTTTCCCCAAATGACCAGCCACTATTTAATCAGGTACTGAATATTACAGAAAAGGGAATGTTCAGAAATACCTAAGACTTTTGGATACAGGATGTGAAATCGATGCTGACACTGGGGACCCAAAGCACCACCGTGGCTCCTCTGTTAGAGGAGGGGTGTGTGAGGGCTGGGTAGCAATGAATCCTGGCCCAGGTCCCTCACACGGTACAAACTTAACCAAGTAGGAGCCTCAACTGTAGCAGCTGTGCCAGATGCAGTATCTTAATCAGAGCAGATTAACACAGCTTGGTTACGTGGAATGCAGTATTGACCTCGCAATACGTTCTTTTCTATACGCTTCAGAAAGGATGATCAGAAGCAGTGCGCATTCACATGAGGTAGACACAGTCTACATTCATGGTTTTGCCCCAGAGCTATGTTAATTCTCCTGCTTTCTGTCATAATATAGTATGTAGGGATGTGGACCATCTGGACATCCTGCGGAATATGGCATACTGGTTCACTATATTGAGGACATCATTTTAATCGAATCAGATGAGTGAGAAGGGACAATTAGCATAGATGCCTTTGCAAGATACATGTGCTCCAGAGGGTAAGAGATAAATCCTACAAAGTTGGCAGTGAGGTTTTAGGGTCTAGTGGATTGGAGCATGCTGAGACATTCCCTGCAAATTAAAGAGCAAATTATTGCACTTACTACCAAAGAGGAAGCACAGTGCTTGGTCAACCTTTCTGGGGCTTGGAAGCAGCACTCTTCATTTGTGAATATTATTGTGACTCATTTGTTGGTTGACATTCAAGGATGCTAGCTTCGAGTGGGGGCTGGAGTAAGAATGGGTTCTGCAACAGGTCCAAGCTCCAATACAAGCAGCCCTGATCCTTGGGCCATGCAACCCATCAGATCCCATGGTTTTGGGGTTTCCGTGGCAGAGAAGGACATCATGTGGAGCCTCTCTGGCGAGCCCTACTAGGAGAACTGCAGCACAGACTCCTGGTTCTGAAGCCAGCCCATGCCATCTGCAGCAGGCACCATACAGCGTTTGACTGACTTACCATCGAAAATCTCAAACTCATCATACTGCTTCTCGCTGAGGAAGTACTCCACTGTGATGGTGATGTTATATTCGGGCTCCACTCTCACCAGCCAAGAGCAGGTCTGGAACTGGGGGTAGCTTCCAGGGTAGCTCTGGCTCAGGATCACACCTGTGGAGTCTGTCAGAAGCTCATTCGTTGGGCAGTGCACTTGGAGGAAGAAATAGAAATATGGTGGGTGGAGATGGAACCGCAGCCAACACATTTGCTTTTCTCCAGTACAAAAGACAACCATTGGAAAATCAGTATTTGAGCACATTGAAACAAGAGAATACCCTTTATTGCACTACTCCATGAGAGGAGGTGACCTCAGACCTTACGTCAATGTTACAGTATTTTTGGGACTCAGGCCTGACCAGTTGGTGGGAATCACTTCCAAGCTCAGTTGTGGACACACTACCTGGCTTTGGAGTAGGCAGGGATGGTATGTACAAACAGACAACAGTAGCTATCCCCAAATCTGAAAGAGCTCATCTATGAAATGGGTTTGATTTGTACAAAGGTAGTACTGTATAGGGCAGAGGTAAGACATGGGATTTTTGAGTCAAACGTACCAGGATTTATAGCCTACCTTTATTACTTACTACCTGAGTGGTCTCGAACAAATTATTTATTCTCTGTGCAATGGCTTCTCTATCTCCAACACAGAGAGATAGCATCTACCTTACAGGGCTTTCATATTATATAAAATATTATATGAAATAATATATGTAAAGCATGCAACATAGTGCTTTAATAATATGGTAGAGATGATGATAGTGATGATAACTGCATCTTGAACAGAAAGGGTCTCAGAGCTAGGCTGTGGCCTAATTAGCAGTATTAACATATCAAAAAAAAGTCACCCTAAGGAAGGCATTGCCTGTGCAAATTAGAAAAGGAGGAATGGGAAGAGCAGGGTTGGGTTTTCTGGTACCACAACGAAGGGTAGGGGAGATGCTGGTTCAGAGAGGCCTTTCGCAGGCACTGAGGAGCTGCTCTGTCCTAGGGCACAGGGAAGCGTCATAACACCCTGCATGAAACAAATTTTAGGATGCGTCACCTCCACTTGCTAGGGTTGGGGACTTCGGAGCAAAGTTCTGAGGACTAAATAAACTTCTTTATACCTTAAAAAGGCATGCCATTGACAACACTTGTATTCCAATCACTGCAAATGGAGGAACTGGTATTTTGCAATAGATGTGCCTTTAGACAGGCTTCCTGAGTGTGCTGGATTCTGGATCCCTGATAGAAGGGAGTTTCTGGGCCTGCAAGGCCAAGGACTAATCCCTGGATTGTAATCTCGGGTACTGCTACTCTAGGGAGGAGACCTTGCCACGGGCTCTGTACCCAGCTGGCTTCATAGAAGCGGGGCTTGCTATCGGTGCTGGGACCGGCTCCTAGCCAGAGGCTGGCTGTGGCTCAGAATTGCACAGGACGCAGCCAGGACTCCTGAGCAGCTTTTCCTGGGAGAGCTTCCTTTTTATTCTGTAAGAGGAAAAGGAAAGCAAATGCCTTCTAGGAGGAAACCACCTGGATGTTGAAATGCTCCTGATTTCACTAACCTGATAACTGACACAGGTCACCAAGGTGTGGTGATATTTAAGTTCCCTTCAGGCCTCGTGGTCCTCTCCTACCTCCACCAGGTCCACTTCCCATGTTCGTTACCTTTCTACTTGAAACTGCGTCTCTCGACAGAAAATGATCATGCTCTCAAATGAGATTGGTCTGTGGGTTTTCCTTTGGGTGTGCAACTTTATCAGATGTGGGCATTAGTGGTTACACGTTTCATTGCTTCTCCCTATGCTCGAGATTATCTGGTCTTTTAAGACTTAGTGGTACTCTTCCGTGAGACCATCTACACTTGATATTTTTGGTGGGATCATTTGCTGCATAACGACCTTTCAGTCAGTGATGGACCACATATGTGATGGTGGTCCCATAAGATTAGAATGAAGCTGAAAAATTCCTGTTGCCTAGTGACGTGGTAGCCATTGTAATGAGCCCGTGTGGCATGTGCTTGCGGTGATGCTGGTGTACACAAACCCA